ACATAATTCTCCCCTTCTCCCTTTTCCTCACTGCTGTTATGTACAGTCAGGTGAGAGAGAGAGAGAAGGAACTGGTCCAGGGTCACCTATCTTCCATGGCAGTATCAGGATTTGAACTTGGGTCTTCTAGATCTGGCGCAACACTGGCTCAGGGATGAAATAGCAACAGCAGTTGCCAGAGAGCTAACTGCTATGCCACACTGGATCTGTTATTACTGTAAAGATAAGGTGGAAGAGAAGAAGAAGAGGATTGGATTTATACCCCCACCCTTCACTACCCAAAGGAGTCTCAGAGTGGTTTACAATCCCTTTCTTTTCCCCTCGTCACAACAGACACCCTGTGAGGTAAGTGGGGCTGAGAGAGCTCTCTCGAGAACTGCCCTTGAGGGAACAGCTCTGAGAGAACTTTTGACTGACCCAAGGTCACACCAGCAGCTGCATGTGGAGGAGTGGGGAATCAAACCCGGTTCTCTCAGATTAGAGTCTATGCTCTTAATCCGTACACCAAACTGGGGGGAATGAAACTTCGGCTCTCCATTAGGGAGCTAAATTGGAAATGATTTCAGGTAGGTAGCAGGTGTTGGGAAAGACTTTCTCTTCCGGAATCCCTGGAGGGCTGCTTTAGAGTAGATCTTGATGGCCCAGTGCTCTCATTCTGTCTAAGTGAACCACATCTGTTCAACGTGACTTACAGCAAGCATTGTGACTGAGTAGTGATTTTGAATGCAGATCTCCCTGGTCCAGTACTAAGCTTGATGCAGGCTGATTAGAATGTTACGCTTCAAATCTCTGCTTGCTTTCAGAGCTTACCAAGAGGTATCAGAGGAAGTGTGTGTGCACATGAAACTTATACCTTGAATAAAACTTTGTTGGTCTTAAAGGTGCCACTGGACTCCAGCTTTGTTCAAGAGGTTTTAGGTAAGGCACTCAGCTTTCAGCCTGGACGACTGTAGAGGGTTCTTGTGAAACTTAAAATGAACTCCTTAAAGGATGGAAGGGCAAGATGTAAATTTCCCGGGAGTTATAAAAAGTGAGCCAGAATATTGCAGATTTTGGTCTCATAAAAGAACAAAAGCTGTGGGGAGGCTGATTTTAACCAACAAAAGTCTACCTAGTCTCCACTGTCCTTGATATTTTCAGAGCCTCATGGAACTCATGGAACTTGATTGATAGATCAAGCCCCTCGCCTGTGGGTTCACCTGCCAGTTGAGTCCCCCCCCCCCCCTTGGAAGGAGAGGTAAAGATAGAGAAATAAATTCTCTTCTTCCTTGGCGTGTTACGCCCCACAGGTGGGGGAGACAGGTCTGGAGCCTTGAAAAGTGCTCCTTTTCAAATTGCCATCTTCCCCGAAAGTCAGGGCTGCCAACGTCTTTCGATTACGCCCTGCTCCTGGGCCTTTAGTTGTAGCTTGATGGGCAGACTTTAACAAGAGATCTGTTTTATTTCCAAGCTTCAGGTGCTGTCTTAAAGGCGCGCTACAAAGCACGCCTTCTCCAGTCATTTGCCTGAGGTCTGTTGATGTATAAGATGTACCTTATTTTTAAGGGATGGTATATAATTTCAAAACAAAGCTCTGTCGGGCATAATATATCACCTGTATTCCAGAACACAAGGTCTCCTGAGAGACGGTGAGGGCTGAAGTAACAGAGGAAGGTTGGAGGGCTGTGCAGGGTGGGTTACTGGAACTTTGGCTGAACTGCAGAAGGATTAGAAGTGGAGTTGGTAGGATTGAAGCTTGTTGGCTGGAGATGTACGATTTCCCAAAACTCTAAAGCAGGGGTGTCAAACATGCGACCCGGGGGCCGGATTAGGCCCCCGGAGGGCTTCTATCAGGCCCGCAGTGGAACTGGCTGTTTTCTGCTTCTTCTTTCAGTTCTACTGCTGCTGTGTCATCGTAGGTTTGCAGGTTACAGATAACACACCCGAACAGCATACTCAAGATTGCAACAGCACAGACATTTTGATGTAATAATTCAGAGCAAGAGGTGTCAGTTATCAGACACTGTTAAATAAACAAAATATTGCGAGAGTGCTAATGTTTTAAATATGTTTTTAAGTTTTAAAAAACCCTTTGTGTTTTGTGTCCTTTATAAAGTTTATATCTCCACTACCTGGCATTACATTTTATGACACTCATGGCCCGGCCCAACGAGGTCTCATTTATGTCAGATCCGGCCCTCATAACAAATGAGTTCGACACCCCTGCTCTAAAGGAAAGAGAGTATGAGTGAATTATTTGTGTGCTGGGAGAAAATCTGGCTCCAACGAAAAACATTGGCATCTTTATTGGACAATCTGCAGATAAACTGGGTTAATCTTTTGAGCTCAGAATTGATTTGTAATATAGACCTGACTTTTTTTTTGCAGGCATATGTTTGGTGGTAGAAAAATGCCTCAGGACCGTACCTGCGGTGTGTGTGTGTGTGTGTGTTTGTGTTATATGACCTGATTTCTCCCTTAAATCCCCAACTGTAATCCAGTTTCTGTTGTTCTGTTTGCTCCTTTGTTCTACAGGGCAGTAGACTTTGCTTTAACTTCAACGGCAGCTATCTAAGCATGTGAATGTCTCACGCAGATCTCCTGCTGCTGTTGTAAGCTCTGAAGTAAAAGTTGCGTGGGGAAAGTCTGCAAGCTGGATGTGCATCCAAAACTAGCAGATCTTTCTGGTGCAAATTCCTCTTTGGAGTTGCAAATCTGGATGTTGCACAACTGCTGTAAAGCTAGGAGTTCTACAACATCTGGATATGAATTCTATTCTGAGCTCTTCAGCTTGCCGGAAATATGTGCACATTCGTAAAACTTGCTGCTAATTGTTTCTCAAGGCAAAATAGTCCAGAAAATATCATCTTCCTCTCCCCCCCCCCCCCCCGATGTCATTTAATAGCAAAGATAAGCCCCCAGTTCAAATCTCAGATCTGTCAGAAATTTACAAGGTAGCTTTAGGCCAGATCCACTGTTTCTCAGCCCACCAGGGGTAATTTCTTAGAAAAAGAGGTGCAGGAGCTCATTAGCATAACTCATTAGCATAACTTATTTGCATATGCCACACCCCCTGACATCACCGGAAGTGTGTCAGAAGGCAATGCCCACCGCTCAGGCTCCACTGGACTGTTTTGGATTGCTAGCTATTGGGGGGGGGGGACAGGGACGTGCAGATCTGTCCTTGCAGAGGAGGGAGAGCTTGTGCCTGAATAAAACCTGGTCTTAAAGGTGCCACTGGACTGTTTTGGGCTGGGGGGTGGGCTCTACAGCTTACCTGGCTGCTTGCTCTGGGAGCAGGGGGAGGGGCTGCTGGGAGCAGGGGGTGGGGGTTGTTGCTTGTGCCCGCCCCCTGGGGTGTCCACTCCTGTGCGCTCCTGCAGGAAATGACCCCTGCAGCCCACCATCTGTAAAATGGGAATAATGCTGGCCTACTTTGCAGGGTTCTTACAAGGATGTGAACATGCTTTGAATGCTGGAAGTGCTGTATGATGCTGTTATTTATTGGGTTGGATCCTGTGATCCATACGCAGCTGTACCCTAGTTTCACTCCCAGGCAGACTGATTCCTGGGGCTGCATAATCCATGTAAATTTCATGAGGGATGTGGGGGGGGGGGCAATGAGGGGCAAGTGAATGGAGTCACCCTCCCCCCCCTCTGGTCAGCGAGGCAGTTCTGTCACTTTGCCCCTCCACATTTAGCCCCATGGGTCCAGAGACCCCAGGAATGAACTCTGTGGGGAGGAGAAGGTATGAAAGATTCCTGGGCCTTTTGGCTATGACCTGAGGTATCCAATTCATTTTATCTTATTCTGATCACATATGTGAGAGAGAAACTGTTGTATAATGAACTGTTCTTCTTAAGCTTCCCTTCCAAATGTTCATTTTCCTTACCAGATTAATTTTTTGGAGGGTGGGGATGGACTAGGAAACAAAGATTTTTCATTTCTGGATCTTCACATACTTGCCTTTGGCATATTTTAGGGAACAACTGAGGGCCCTCACACCCGCTATGACTAGGTGGTCAGTGCAGAAAATCTCTTTACAAGAGAGTTTAAATTTTTTTGCAAGACAGAGCAGGGCCTTACCAGTTGTGACTCCAACCTTTTGAGTCCTGTGTTCTTGGAGAATGGTGGTGTTTAAATGTGCTAAATAAATACATTAACCCTATGGGACATGCTGTGTTTTTTAAAAAACTTATCTGTCCTAACTCTTGGCACATAGTATCCCCAAGGCTACTTACAAAGTTATAAATCTGTGAAGCCCAGGCCTAGTGTTAGGGTTGGGAAATTCCTGAAGATTGGGGGCAGTGCTTTGAGAGACCAGAATTTGGGGAAGGAACTCAGTGGGGATGATGCCATTAGATCAGGGGTGTCAAACATAAGGCCTGACCGGAACTGGCCTGTCCAGGGCTCTTCCTTGGCCCACAAGCAACTGGTATGTATGGAATGTAAGGTACTGCCCCTTTTATGGTCTCCACTGGAAAAAAACTAACCTTAGGTAAAGGTAAAGGTTCCCTTGCTCGAAAGCCAGTCGAATCCGACTCTAGGGTTGCGGTGCTCATCTCCGTTTCAAAACCGAAGAGCCAGCGCTGTCCGAAGAAGTTTCCGTGGTCATGTGGCTGGCATGACTAAACACCAAGGCGCACGGAACGCTGTTACCTTCCCACCAAAGTGGTACCTATTTATCTACTTGCAATTTCTTGCTTTCAAACTTGCATATGATTAAATACATTTATTGGGCCTTGTCTGGGTTCCCCAGTAAATCAACTGCTTTCACTGCTAGGAATCAATTGCTTTTGTTTGTATTTCGAGTAGAAATAATATCGTTGCTTGGGTTTGCCGGTGTCCTTTATAAAGTTTATATATCTCCACTTTATTATATCTGCATTTAATGGCACCCATGGCCCAGCCCGGCAAAGTAACCTTTATGTCCGATCCAGCCCTTGTAACAAATGAGTTCGACACCTCTGCCCATAGAGTTTGCCTTCTGAAGTTGCTGTTTTCTCCAGGGAAACTGACCTCTGCAGTGTGGAGAATGATTGTAATTCCAGGAAAACACCAGGTCCCACCTGGAAGTTAGCAGCTCTGTCAAGGGTTCTTCATGTAGCAAAGGTAAGACATTTTCGGGTCGGTAGCCATGTTGATCTGCAGTAGCAGAGCAAGATTTGCTATCAGGATAGCTAAACTGGTTATAGGCTGGGAAGCACAGAAATACTGACTTAATGTTAGGAGAGGTCTGATATAGGCTTCGGGGGGTGGGGGTGGGCGGAGAGCAGGAGAGGCCCTGTCAGTGAATGCCCTGTAGGGTTGCCATCCCCCTGATGGGGGCAGGGTTCCCCCTGATTTTGAGCCCCCAAAGAACCCCACTATGCCTGATGTGTCCAGTGTGATGATGTCACCTGGAGGTGACATCATTGCACCAGGTACATCACAGGGGGACACTCTAGCGTTTGGCTAAAAACTCTGTGGTGACCATAGAGTTTTTGGCCAAATGCTAGTGCGTCCCCCCACGATGTGCCTAGCACAATGATGTCACTTCCGGGTGATGTCATTGTGGGTCATGCAAGGACATCCAGGAGAGTGGGCTGGAGCCCTCTGCCGGCAAAAGGGAGGGACCCTGGCAACCCCAATGTCCTGCGGTAGCACAGTGTCCAAGGATTAGAACAGCAGAGTAGACAGAACCGTAGTCACAGCTGTCTGTTGGGGCAGTGGAATTGGACTGAGAAGAAACATCAGCTCTTAGTGGCTGCACAGTTTGGGAATTTTACTTCAAACCATTGACAGGCCTTGGCCTACTCATGAAGGCTTGCTAATGAAGTGTGAGAGAGCATCTTCCACTAACAGTGGCTGGAAAGCAATGCGGGTGACACTTGTCCTCCTTGGCTATCTTATCATGGTATCTCCAGATTAAGTGGCGCGCCTCCCTTGTAATCCACCTGTGGAGGGTAGCACCCTGTATCACTGTTTGGCCCCTTGTCACCTGAAGTAAATATTTGCCTTCTCTGTCTCCTCCCCAGAAATGTCAACATAGGCCCAACCTGTTTCTCCAGGGTGGCTGAGCAGAGATGCAGTCTGCTGACACACAACCCAAAGTCCTCAGCTCTTGGTCCCCCCGTTGATCCTGGCACGGCAGTCAGTGAAGCCATGGCCCACGATAACCCACGTTTCCAGGCCGAGCCGTCACAGCCGGATAACAAGGAGGAAGGGGCAAACTCTGAGGCCAGTTCCCTAGACTGTGTCATCTGCTTCACCCGCTATGACCGAATCTTCAAAGTGCCCAAGAAGCTGAGTTGCAGCCACATCTTCTGCCTGGAGTGCCTGGCACGGATCAATGTCTCCTCTGAGGATGTGAACGCCATCACCTGCCCAGTCTGCCGGGCTCCTACCACCCTGCCTTCCCGCAAGGGCCTGCCGGGCCTTCCCACACACAGAGACCTGCTGGAGCAGCTCTCAGCCACGCCAGCCCCCCCTGGCTCAGTGCGCTTTGACCGTCGGCGGGGCTTGCTGTACCTGCCGGGGGGCCGCAAGGGTGCCGCTAAAGTCAGGGCCAAGCCCGAGGCTTCCCTCAACACTGTCAGCCTGAGCATCGATGTCGGGAGGCCAGCCCCGCGAGGAGCAGGCCGGATGCTCACACTCTCTGGCTGGCCCTTCTACGTGGCCCTGGCAATTGCCCTGCTGGTTACCATTGGCTTAATTATCTGCGGCATCTACATCTTTCTGTTACCGTCCATGTATACTGTTTCGTTGATGGGGCCGCAACAAGCAAACCTCAGCCAAGGGCAGGCTTCTGGAGGAAACAACTTTTCCTGGGTGAACGTCCCTCCAACGGTCTAAAACCTGCCATCTTTAGTATGACTGTACTAACTGCAGTACCTGTTTGTAGAGCACGGACAGGGTGGGGGCAATCAAATCTACCTGGGCCTGGCTGAATTAGCCATAGCTGTGAAGGGCACTTGAACTGACGACTTGGAGGTGCTGCTTGAACTCCCACAGGAAGGTCTCATCACAGACGTGGGGGTGTGGGGAGAGATCATGTAGCCTGGATAACGTAATATGGATTAGTCACCAGCTTAATCACCTGATTGAACTAGAGCAGTGAGGTGAGAGTCGTTTCCCAGCTTCTTGGTGCAGATTCACATGTGAGGGAGGGAGGGATTCTAAATCCACCGACTCGCGAGTGTAGGGGCAAGAGTTCCTAGAGCGTAATGAATATGACCAAGGATGGGAATTCAGGTGCGGAGTCGTATTGCATGCTTTTGACTCCCAGATTAGTATGAGACTAATTGGCACTCTTGGCGTTCAAAAGCAGTGTGCCAGGCCAAAATTCAAACAGTTAGAGATCTATCTAGTGTGGTGATGGAGTAAAAGGGGGGGGGGGGGGGCTCATCTCCCGAAACGGCTAGGCTACCTGCCTTGTGCCTGTTAATAGCCTGGGCCCCCTGCCAGGAGGGGAAAGATGGCAGCCTGGTGCATCGATAATGATAATCTGGCTTGGGTTTCCGAATTTCAAACACAGAATCATTCCTACTGTTTAGCGTTGGCGACTGGCCAGAATAACTGGCCTGGCCTGCTCTTGTGCCAGTAACAGCAGCCTGATCCGTAGAAAGAATCAGCCTGCAGCTATCATTATCATCTGTGAACTTGTGTTGAAGGTGCAGCCACAAGGCTGGCCATCGTACTTTGCATCTTGCACAGACCCCTCAAATTTAATCCCCCCCAATTCTGATGGATGGTACTACACCCATTCCAATCTTGTCTCTTTGACAAAGTGGCAGTATTGTTTAGTGATGCTGCTGGCCCCGAATTACTAGCCATTCCTCTGTCTTAAAGCTACCCCTGCCACTGCCCTGCATGGAATCCAGGAGACCTGGATGTAAAAATCACATCCAGCCACGTAGAACTTTGGACATGTGGAAGAACAGAGAGGTGGGGAACTTTGCAGGAGGGGGTACCCTGTTGCCTCTTAAAAATCTGCTTTCTGAGCCTTGCAAAACATTATTTTTAAGTTTCCCCCATGCAATCATGTACTCGTAGATAAAGGAAATCTAACACAGGCCCGGCCATGAAGAGACCCTGCCGAGGACCTGCTGTGGGCCTGAGAAACTGCTGGAACCTTTCTTCAGACTGGAAGCCCATGGGCAGGACAAACTGAAACTTGAGACTCAGTGCTCTTGCCAATAAAGGGGATTTATCTGGTGTTTTGGAGGGGTGCTCTTTTTTTTTTTGCTGGTGATCCCCCAAATCTGCTCTATTTTGTCTTCCTTTTACCCCCCTGTCCTTCCCTCAAATAAGTATTTTTCCAGGAAAGTACCCATTTTTAATTTTTAACACCCCAAGCGGATTAAACTGTACATACCATAAAATAGGCAGGGATGTATTGACTCAGTAAAGGTGGCAAGCAAGATTTTGTGTCTGTCACCAAATCAGGTTTGGGTTGGAAACGAACTTACTGAAATCTTAGAACAAAGTGTACATGCACATTTGTGTACATGTGTACAAGGAAGACTGATAAAAAACACCGTGGCTGTGAAAAATGGGTGGACAATGGAAGCATATGTGTCCATTGACAGGAACGGTAAGAGCTCTAACCATCTCCTCCTTCACCGCAAGGCACACTGCTGTGTCCTCAGCAGGCTCTGGGCACTTTCAATTACTCTCTTAACTTCAGGTCCGCCTTAAGGTTCATTCGTAAGTTCCCTTTCCCTGTGCAGAAGTTAATTCTGCAATTCCTCGTATACCAGGATTCCCTCTCCCCACAGGAGCTGTTCAGTCCACACGCTTGCTGTGAAATGAAAGCTGGTATTTACTGTCCTACCTTGCAACACATACTTCACCGCAAGGCACACTGCTGTGTCCTCAGCAGGCTCTGGGCACTTTCAATTACTCTCTTAACTTCAGGTCCGCCTTAAGGTTCATTCGTAAGTTCCCTTTCCCTGTGCAGAAGTTAATTCTGCATTTCCTCATATACCAGGATTCCCTTTCCCCACAGGAGCTGCTCAGTCCACACGCCTGCTGTGAAATGAAAGCTAGTATTTACTGTCCTACCTTGCAACACATAATCTCCAAATAAAGGAAAGTAATCAGAGGCTTCCAGTTTGCCTGGGTCCCAATGTTCTCTTTTTCTACGAAATGACCCCTCAATCCTGTTGATATAGAGACTGTATTAGTAACCGGTACTGGGATCAGCAAAGCCCATGCCTTGCACACATGCCCAGCATCTCAGGACAGGTGGTAGACAAAGGTAATAATAATTTAAAAGAGAGAGAGAGAGGTGTATCCAGAGTCTTTCTCACTATATTTAATCCAAGTACAGCTTTTCTCTCCCGGGCTGAGCTCTGAAGAAACTGGTTTTGCAGCTGAAAGTAAATGTGAACAGCATTGATAGGCTGCTCCTTTGGAAAAAAATAAAATAAAGCAAGGCATTGATCATTAAATGTGCATATGCCAGGAGCCAACTGATGGCTGGATTGGCATTTCGATGTGCTGCTCTGTTCATTTGTCAAATTCAGATGCCAAGAGAAATCTGGGCTCACATGGTAGCTGAAGAACCTGCTGTGAGTTTTATGGTTATATTACAACTGCCTTCTCTCATTGGAAACCTGGGCAAGCAGGCTTGAGTTGACTTCTTGGGTAGCCTCTCAGTATTTTACTAGTATCAATAAAAAAGGTCGAAGTTGAGTAGTGCAGCACTCACTTAGCACAGGCATCCAATCGTAGTCTTGAAGAAGCTTCTGATTAGCTCACTGAATCGCCTTCCATTTGTGCTCCATGAGTGAATTAATTGCTTCTGCTGTTGTGGCCAACCACAAGTTGCTTTTCCATCCAAAGGGGCAACCTAGGATTTGTGCTTGCACCAGGATTGCAGATGGGAGGGGACACACCCAGATTCCCATGTACCAGCAGGCCACAATTTGCCACGAAAGGGGAAGTAACTAACCTGCTTGTAGAGCACAAAGGGATGGAGGGATCTCAAGAAAGAGCCTGCAGGGTTACAAGAACTCATTCGTGTAGCACCAAACCATGTCTTGGCATTAGGTCTGAACCAAGCCACAAGGTCCCAACTTCAAATTCTGGTTAAAGGATTTCTAGAAAGAGGACTGGGAAGCCCAGGAGCTGCTGGCAGCCACGGATGTAGCAATAGCATTCAGATGGACACCTAATCAGACTTGGCATGAACCAGTTCCTTCTATAACAGTGTTCTGTCAGAAGTGCTGCCTCAAGACTGGTGTGTTCTTTCATCCGAGAATTTCCTTTGAAACTGCCCTCTTGCAGAACCAGCTTGTCATGATGGATGGTGCCCCATGAATGGCCTAGAGTGTTCCAGCTTGCTACGCCCAATGATGCCCCATAATCTGCTACCCCTTTGCCTGAATGGTAGAGCTGCGTCTTGTTTGTCATTCCGGCCCTCTCCAGCTTATAGCTAGGAGAACATAAGAGAAGCCATGTTGGATCGGGCCAATGGCCCAGCCAGTCCAACACTCTGTGTCACACAGTGGCCAAAACCCAGGTGCCATCAGGAGGTCCACCAGTGGGGCCAGAACTCCAGAAGCCCTCCCACTGTTAACCCCCCCCCCCGAGCACCGAGAATATAGAGCATCACTGCTGAGCAGGGAGAAGAAAGTAAGCTGAATCTAATCTTAGGACATTTCTTCCTATGTTCCTGGTTACTTTGATGTCACACGTTAGCTACCCTGGCTATACAGAGGGGAGAAGGGCTGGAACATAGCGTAAAGCAAGAACACAGTCCACAGACAACAGGAGTCCAGGTTTCAGATTGTATTATTTTACTGGAGAATGTATGCTGGGCGGAGAAGTCTGCCAGGAGTTGGGGCTCCCCCACCCCCAACCAGGGCAGCACCCATCACTCCTCCCACATTTACTGGGACGATAAAGTGCTCAAAAGGGAAAACTGTGGGGGGAGGAACTGGCACCAATATGTGCATGCACAAGGTGCACGCACGCACACAAACACACGCACAGCTGAGGCAACCCCCGGAGCTTGGTGGAAGGTAGCTGCTGGTCTTTTTGCCTAACGTTCATCAGCGATCCGGCCTGTCCCTTGCTCACACTATGACTCCAGCTCCCTGCATTCCTTCTATGGGGGAAGCGGTGAAGGCATTCGTGGTGAGTATGGCCCTGCCCTGTGGTCCAACACAGGAGGGTCAGGCTTCTGGGAAAGAGGAAGCAATACTGTAGGAGCAGTGCAATGATCCCATTGGAAGTGTCTCTCTGCCCATCCCGTGCTCTTAGGAATGATGTATTCCTTTGTTACAAGGGAGCTGATGCTGTGATCTTTGGCTGATCACCATCTCTAATTGCAAGCCAAGCCCAGTTTCCCCTTGTTACTGTGGAAGCACCCCCGAATCTCAGCGTAAGAGGTCCACCGTTTCCTTATTGTATTCTACAGCTGGGAACGTACAGGAAGTCTCACAAAAATGACCCTCAAGCCTCACCCCCCCCCCAATCATTCCTTGCACCAAGGTTCAAGTTAACGTGCAGATTAATTTGTCTCAGTCACGCAGTCAAACATGAGTTTACAATTGCACAGGAGTATCAAGGGTGTCAACATGAGGTCTGGGAAGCGTGCAGTGTGTGTCTGTTTCTAGTGGCAGGTGTTAAGTCACCCTAATCAGACTGGGCACTAGTTTGGCCGTATTCAGTTATACCCATGTGATACAATCCACTGCAGTCTCGTTCAGGGGTGCCCAATGGGGTCCCATGGTGCCTGTCAGCAGTTCTCCTGGCACCCATCAAGTGTTTTTAGAAAGTGGGTGGGGTCAGGTGGGGCTTTTGCCTCAGAAGGCTTTTGATTGGCCATGGGAGATTTGATTGACTGCATATTTTTAATAACATTGCCTTGGCGGCAGCTGCCACCATAGCACGGGGATCTTCACTGTGTGACCGAATATAAGCTGCAGCCACCATTGTGTGACTGGCTCCGCCTCCTCTGGTAGCCATTTTGTTGCTGTGCCCACCAGACTATGTCAGAATTCCAAAGTGGCCCACAGGATTAAAAAGGTTGGGGACACGTGGTCTAGCGGCATGTGACTGTAACTACTGGGGAGAGAGTTACATGTGTTCCAGTCTAGTTCTGCTGTTCCAAAGTGTTTGGTTCCCGTTGTGCACTACAATGTGACTGTGCTACAGGCTGGCTTGGTCCGTGACCGCAGGAAACCACTTTAACACTATTCATGCAGACAAGGCTGTACCTCTGAGCTACCGTGCCCGTCCGTTCCTGGCAACAGGCAGCAGCTGGGAGCAACTGCCTGCTTGAAAATACAAGAAATGATCCACTTGTGAATTACAGTGGGACTGCTGGGTACCTCAGTGCTACCCTTATGCCACAACCCGACTGTACACATAATTGGCGGGGTCGCGCACTCCATTCTAAGGCCGCATGCAGGCGTACATATCTTCATCAGCGACCTCGCTGCCCTTCTGGGACACATACACTCTGCTTTGCAGGAGCACGTTTGGTGGCAAGGGGAAACCTGGGGGTGGTATTTTGAGAAGAAGCCAGCTTGGCACAGTGGTGATTGGCCAGGCTGTGCATCCATCACTGAATGATCTCCCTCTTTCTCAAAGCTGCTCTGACTGGCATATTTTTTTGGTGTCTGCCACAAAGCCCCTCATGTCGAAGTGGATTTCAAACACAAGAAGGAAAAACAGTTTCAGAGGGTGGCCATGCTGGTCTGCAGGAGCAGAGCTAGACTGGAGTTCAGCAGCATCTGAGAAACCAACAAGATCCCCGGGGTACAAGTTTCCAAGAGTCAAAGCTCCCTTTCATATCTGATGAAGGCAGGGCTCTTTTTGTAGAAAAAGCCCAGCAGGAACTCATTAGCATAATAGGTCACACCCAACACCAAAAACTCATTAGCACATTAGGCCACACCCCCATGTTACCAGAAGTGCGGTTATCCAGCCACACCCACCTTTTGCTTGTTATTCTGTTTACCTTGCTTGTTGTCAAAACCCAGGGCCTTTTTTTGTTGCAGGAACTCCTTTGCATGTTAGGCCACACACCCCTAATGTAGCCAATCCTAATGAGTTTCTGCTGTTGGGTGTGGCCTATTATGCTAATGAGTTTCCACTGGGCGTGGCCAACTTGGGAGCCAGCCGGAACTCCGTTCCTGTGCGTTCCTGTGCGTTCCTGCCCAAAAATAGCCCTGGATGAAGGGAATTTGATCTTGGAACCCACCCCCCCAAATCGTATTGGCCTCTAAGGTGCTCCTGGACTCCAAAGAAGAAAAATACCATTAAAAAAAAAATAACACCTCCAAACAACCTTTCAATTGAATAACCACACAGGCACTTTTAAAATTGAAATAACATGTGACAGAGCAGATTTGGGGAGAACATCTGCTTTCACCCCACAGCTGGCCGCGTACGTCAGCACAGAAGGTGGTGAAAGCAGAGTGACCCTTGCAGCGGCCCCATCCACACCTGCACACACCCCCACAGCTTCTGTTCGTATGTATGTCTGTATGCAGCCTGGTTGCAGCTACCAGTAGCCATCTAGATAAGTGCACAGGAGGAGAAACCGTAGGAGGCCACATCTCAATCTCTCTCTCTCTCTCTCTCTCTCTCTCTCTCTCTCACACACACACACACACATACATGAAGAGCCGTAGAGCCCTTCCGCCTGATGAACCGCATTTCCAACTGCTACCCCTTCCCAGACAGGAACACTTGAAAGTAGTCCGGCGTGCGTGCGTCGGGTAGGGGGGTGACCCTGCGATCCACTACTTCTAAAATCAAGTCCCCCATAGAGTTGGCACCTGGATTCCAGGTTCCGGGGGGGGGGGTGCAGGCAGGTGGATGGTCACAAAGGTATTTTACAAAGACTATTGGATGTTTTGTTTTTTCTAAAAAAATCTCCCCAGTCCTGACCCGCCAGTGTCATAACCCTCTGGCCCCCTCTCCCGCCCCGCCCCAGTTGCATGGGCACCGGCCACCTTCCCTTTGGCGGCGTGCTTGAGGTCCGTCACTTGTAGAGCAGGTGGACACGGCTGCCGTCGCAGTTGTTGCGCCCCAGCTTGTCGGCTTGTTCGGCCACAAGGCAGCGGACGAGAGGCAGGCTGGGCTGGTAGAGGTTGGGGCCCGTGGCTGCCGAGGCCGAGGCCGTGCTGTTGAAGTGGTTGTCGGCCGCGCAGTTGGAGGAGCGCCGGCGGGACCGCAGCTGCTGCCGCTCTTTGAGCTGTTGCTGGAGCTCGGAGACGCGCTCTTCCTTCTGTCAGGGACAAAGGCAGGAGGAGTGAAGCGGGTTGACAAATCCCTGCAGCGTCCCAATGCAGGTCACACGGACCAAAACTGGGGTGGGGAGAGTTGCCGCTGGGCCCCTGTTCCCTCGGCAAGCACAGGGGTAGCTGTTGCCTGGCAAGCAAAGCAGGAGTCATTCCCTTGGCCGGCTAAGTGTGAATCAGGGACATTCTCTTCCCTCAAGGAACGACAGACTGGCAGTAGAGAGCCAAAGATGAAGCTGATGATGGGAAATGGCGGCCCAAGAAGTCAAAGGGCTGGCAGAGCGCTGCTGTTTTCACTAGGGGATAAGCTGGGAAGCTGACTGAAGAGTTGTTTTCAGGGGATAAGCTGGGAAGCTGACTGAAGAAAGTGGGTCTGTTTAGCCTGGGGAAGAGACCTCTGAGGGGAGATGTGGTCGTGCTTTCCAGACGCCTGAAAGGCTGTTGACAGGGAAGAGAGAGACGACTCCCTTCTCTTGCCGCTCCAGCGGACAAGACTAGATCTAATGCGACGAAGTGCCAGAAAGGTAGATTTCAATTGAACATTAGCAGAAACTGCTTAATGGCAAGAGGGGTTTGACAATGACAGCAAAAAGGTCAGCGCATGATGAGCTCTCCCTCACATAAGAGGTCTTCAAACGGAGTCTGGACAGTTATCTGTCACCAGTGTTCTGACTCCGGGTTTCCTACATTGAGCAGAGGGCTGAACTCTATGCTGTGCCCAGTCCTGTGGTTCAAAAGAGAAGAAAAATCCCATGGCACCTTAAGGGTTAACAACATTTATTTCAAGAGGAGCTTTCATGAGCCATAAATGTTGTTAGCCTTTAGCTGCGGTCATCATACACACTAAATAATCCACTTTCCAACTGGATTTTGCCAGTTGACACGGTGAAATCCAGTTGGAAAGAGCACTGAAAGTGGATTGGAAGTGGATTACTTAGTGTGTGTGACCACAGCCTTTAAGTGCCACTGGATTTGTAAATTTCGCAAGGGCAGAGTAACATCTCTGCAGTCATCTAGCTTGTGAACTCACTATAGGCCTTACTACATGTTATCTGGCTACTGCCATCCAAGTTCCTCCTCTCCCCCCCCAATGTCTCTCCAGTAACATGATTTGGCCAAAGAAATACATGGTGTGATGTCACCATGATCACCATTTTTCTGCCCAGTTCATTGGCTTCAGTTTGCAGGGGGTGGGGAATGTTTCCAGGGAGATGTGTGTGCATGTCTGTATACGGGGGGCCGGGGTCGGCAAAGCTTAGGTGCCCCCTTTATTGGTAGTTTTGGCACAGGTGGTTCTAGGCAAGCCCCCATTCTCCCAGCCATAGCCCTTCATTCGTGATGTGGGAATGCTGGCCCCACCCTGTAGGACTGTTATAAAGATTATCGAGATAATATATACAAAGAGCACTGCACACTCAGGAAAAGCGTTATACAGTACAAAGCCACACTGTGCACACAGTCAAGTACTGTTCTTTTTTTTTAAAATCAACAAAACCGCCCTCACAATCCTGGCCTTTTATGTGGACTTACAGGAAAAGCACAACTTTTTGGCCTGGAAGAAAAAGAGATAAAAGCAGTTCATGGGAAAGGTAACCAGCAGCCATCGTTAAAGAGATAGTCATGGATCCGGGAGAGCCAGGTTCAAATTCCTACCCTGCCACGAAGCTTATTGGGTGAGCCTGGGCCAGTCGTTCTGTCTTACCTCACGGGGTTGTTGTGAAAGACGAACGGAGGAGGGAAAGGAGTAGGTGTGCTGACCTGAGCTCCATGAAAGAAGTCCGCGATAAAAACGTGATAGAACAAGACATGCCCCTGACTTCCCTCCTCCCACTCTCACCTCAGAGATTATCTTCTCCAGTTCGCGGTTCTCCTTCTCCAGTATCCGTGATTTCTCTTCCTCGTTGTTGTTGGTGGAGGAGCCTGTCTTCATCGTGTCCTGCTGCTCCGACTGCCACTCGCCCCGGGTGATGAGGCGACGCATCTGCAATGACACCCAACGCAGGCTTAGCGATACGTCCGCTGCTTGTTTGGGAGGGCAAGATTCTGGCCCCAACAGCCACAGAAAAGCTGGGCAGGAAGAGACACCTGGCCACTAGTGACAGAGCAGCTGCCTTTTCCCATCCTGACTCCACTGGGGGCACGGAGAGACCAAACAACCTGCCACCGTGGGAAGGAAGGGGAAGCAGAGGCCAAGACGAAAGGTCCCATTAAACTAGCCAGGAGTTCTCCTTGTTGCTCAGCGACACACACACACACCTTTCTTCGCTCCTCCTTCCCCTTCCATCCCACCATAATAACGCAGTCCTCATTATTTCCAGCCCGGCCATGTTTTACTTCCAGCCAGGCTGGTAATGCTGCAGAGCTGCTGACGGACCCTGGCAGAGCTGCTGACGGAGCTTTTTCCCCCACTGGCTGTGAGATTTGCCCAGGGTTGTTCTGAAGCTCTGGCAAAGACCCTCACAAGTTTCAAATCGCTTTGCTTTCTATACTGCTTAAATAACAGTGGTTGAGAAACTGGGAGAGGATCCCGCGTTAAATAAGAAAGGAACGCAGAGCAGGCATCCCTGTGACTGTGTGTGTCCTTCAGGGCAGGGCTATTTTTGGGCAGGAACGCACAGGAACGGAGTTCCGGCTGGCTTCCGAGTTGGCCACGCCCAGCAGAAATTCATTAGCATAATAGGCCACACCCAACAACAGAAACTCACTAGGGTTGGCTACGTTAGGGGTGTGTGGCCTAACATGCAAAGGAGTTCCTGCTACAAGAAAAGCCCTGGGTTTTGACAACAGGGTAAACAGAATAAAAAGCAAAAGGTGGGTGTGGCTAGATAACCGCACTTCTGGTAACATGGGGGTGTGGCCTAATGTGCTAATGAGCTGTGCTGTCAGGGGTGTGGCCTAATATACTTATGAGTTTCTGCTGTTGGGTGTGGTCTATTATGCTAATGAGTTCCTGCTGGACTTTTTCTACAAAAAGAGCCCTGCTTCAGGGGATGGTGGAAAGTTCCCCCAAGTTGCAGCCAACTTATGGAGGCCCCTCATTTGATTTTCAAGGCAAAAGACGTTTCAGGGTGGTTTGCCATTGCCTTTGTCTGGGCTTCCTTGGTGGTCTCCCATCCAGGTACTAACCAGGGCCAACCCTGCTTAGCTTCTGAGATCTGACACAAGATCGAGCTAGCCTGGGCCATCCAGGTCAGGGCTTGGGTATACCTGCCTGTGGATAAACAAGCGATAAAGGGTTGGCTGTTAACCCCAGTGAGAGGACATTGTGACAGCCAGTTACCCTACGGTGTGGTTAAACGCTCCTGGCTACGTGACTGGGTCCGCAGCCTGATCACAGCCGTGATGGTTACCTTGGGCACAAATAGCACGACCAGGGTGATGTAGGAGGAGAAGACGATGGCCAGCGAGGCAAAAGCAAAGGCTGCATCCTGTTGACTGTTGAGGATCATGGTAACGGGGGCCGTGATGAGACACAGCACCTGGGATAGGAAGAGAACCGGCGAGGTTGGAAGAGCTGCCTGCAACAGCCTGGAAACTGTATTACCCTAACAACCATCAGGAAGAAGGGCGGGGAGCAGAGAGGTGGACATGTGTTGCAAATTAATGGTTTTAATTGATTTCACCATGTCCCTGCAGCTCAAGAGAAATAACAGCATTCCTCTGGTACCTACTGAACCATGAGGAAGAAGGGCGGGGAGCAGAGAGATGGACATGTGTTGCAAATGAATGGTTTTAACTGATTTCACCATGTCCCTGCGGCTCAAGAGAGATAACAGCATTCCTCTGGTACCTACTGAAGCCAAAAGCCCATGAAAGCAACTTGAATCACTGCACTGCTAAGAACCGAGGCAAAGAGAGAGGGGGTTGACTTGCACAGGCAGTCCTGGAGTCGCAGCTGCCTAGCAACAGGCCTGCTGGATCAAATCGGAAACGTCCATCTGGTCCAGCATCTTATTTTCCACACTGGCCAGCCAGATACCACAGGAAGCCCACAAACCAAGGTAGGAGGTACGGAGCTTGGAGAGATCCCTTTGGAGCTCCATGCCATGTCTGCAGCCTTTCCTCAACCTGAACGATATATTTATTTATTATTAATTTAATTTATACCCCGCCCGAGCCCATAAAACAATAAAAGCAATAAAATCCATAAAACATAAAGTCCATAAAACAATAAAACCAATGAAAGAGTAGATGGCATGCTGAACGATAACAACAAAAACCCATGCCTCGTATCAGGCTAATATAGGTACCTCAAAAAACTCCAGTGTCCAACAATATTATGTAAAACAGCAGAGCACTGGGAAGGGGCCATAACCCTGCCCTTCCCTGCACACAGGGCTCAGGGTAGCACACAACAATTAATAAAAATGTTCTCTGGTTCTACAGTTTTACAGAGTTAAGCACACCAAGATGGCCCATAAACCCAGAAGCATGCTCCTATGGGTCTATCAAGTGCCCAAGATTAAGAAAGGGCAGTGGGTCCGAGCAAAACGGGCCTTATTCCTGTAAGCTCAGTATCCAGAAACACAACATGCACTTCCAAAACTCAAGGATGAGTAAGCGTGCAGAAAGGATTATATGGGAGAGACACAGGCCAATATCCTCAGTGGGGTTTTGCTAAAGACTCTGTTCATGGAGGTGGAACCATCCAGGTGCCCCCAGCACAGATCTCTTAGCCCACCTATCAAGCCCGGAGAACTAAAGATCAGGGCAGTTCTCATATCCTTCCACAAGACAGCTGGACACAACTGTGCACTTCCTCCGTGGAGGTCTTGGGGTCAGAATTTGGCATTTTCAGTCCAGTGGCTAGGGCTGCCAACTCCCAGTTGGGAAATTCCTTTCTATAAAGAAATTTTTATTTCAAATATACAAGACAGACAATAACAAACACACACACACATATTAGGGGAAGATTCACGATGTCATTTTTAAACATAGCCATTGACCTCATACTATTACCAAAGAATCCATTTCTTTTTTCCACCTTATAATTTTGACATATACCTTTTGTCCACAGTTAAATATATCGTTCTTGTTTCTTATTCTTTATATTTCAATTATAGGTCTAGGAGTTTTGTATGGTATACTCTTCTATCCATTTATAAAGTCTTGGCCACGTGTCCTCAAAATCTTCTTCATTATGTCCTCTCAAAGTTGAAGTTAGATTCCTGAAGACTTCATGGTGGAGCCTGGGGAGGGCATGGTTTGGGGAGGGACCTCGGGAGAGGTTATCATGCCATAGAGAGTCCACCCTCCAAAGCAGCCATTTCCTCCAGGGAAACTGATCTCTGTCATCTGCTAATTGGCTCTAATTCCGGGAGATCTCCTGGCCCCACCTGGAGGCTGGCAACTCTACCCACGGCTTAGGTTAAAATCCCTCCCTGGTTGCTAATCCAGCGAGTTCTGTCAGAAGAGCGTGAGGCTCTTTGGACGACCGCTTGCTCCAAATGTCATCAAGCCACTCACAGCCACGTTGTAGATTGCCATGCCCACAGCGCGGTGGTCGTTGATCTTCTCCGTAGAGACGCCCTTTGTCTCATAGGCAAGGAAGATGCCCAGGAGCAGCAGCAGCCCCTTGAAGCCGTAGAAGATACCTGTGGGAAAGGAGACAGGTGGGTGTCAGTGGCCAAGACCGGGAAGGAGGAATGGCAGCGTAGGACACTGGGTGGAGGTGATGGGAGTGGGCAGGATATTTGGCTGGAGAAAAGATGCAGCTTTAGCAAGGCAGGCAAGTCCATTTAGCTGTTTGGGGTCAATATGCAGAAGGGAACAGCTGAATACACCAATACCCATAACTCAGCAACCCTAATGCAGCAACGGGCCTCCACCATTGATGAGACCACAGTTCAACATGGGCCTCAATTCACCGATAATTTAGATTGTTAATGCAAAAATCTGGATTACTTTAGAGTGTTTTTAGCGCAGATTATACACAAGTGTCTCCATCACCTGGGCTGTGTGCATTGTGCAATGCCATGAAAGGGCAGGGCATAGAACAGGATGTTAACTCAAAGAAAAGGAAAGAAAGCAAGTTTCCAGCACTTACGGCTGCGAAGTGCATGGGAAATGCAGAAGCCAGAGGAGCAGCTGAGAACAATTTGTATCATCAGTGGGTTGGACTTCAGGTGCCCTGTCATTCCTTGCCCCTTCCCACAACCAGCACACACACACACACACACACACACAAAAATTGTGTCAGTCAAACAAATACATGCAAATTTGTTTCATTTGGACAGACTGCAGGATTCAGTTTTTCCTGGTGTGGGACAGCCTGGCGCTTTCTGTTTTGATTCATTTTAATGCAGAGTATTCACATTCCCTTCAATCAGAGATCCCAGTTTGCAGCCAGTAGTAACGAACAACCCCTGTCTTCCTTTCCACAGCCCTGATGGCCCTGGAATGGGGAAAGAACAGGGTTGCTGGGGAACGGGAAAGGTTGGGGTGGGGGCTTTAAAT